GTACTCCCAGCATCCTAGCTCTTTGTACTTGCGTATACCCTTAAAATGATGTCGAATAAGGACTTACGAACATTTCAAGTTACAAACGGGCGTTTGGAACGTATCTCGTTCGTAAGTAGAGGAGAGTCTGTAATTCTTAAAATGTATGTAAATTTATACACCTTCTAACCACATATCCTGGGTGGGGTCTCGAGGGAGGGTGTGGCTTGGTGTCGACCCCAGGCAGCAATGGGCTGTGGTGCATCCTGGATCATCACAGAGAGCATACATGTACAGGTCATCGGCAGAAGCTAGTTAGTCTGCAGGTCAGGTGTGAGGTGACAGTGCTCCACTGAGCCACTGTGCTGGCCTGCATTTTAATTTTTATTTTGGGCTTCTGAGGGGGGGGAAAAAAAACAAATAAAATGTGTTCTTTGTAGATATCGAGGACTTACCCCCTACTGTTCAAGAGAAGCTGTTTGATGAGGTCCTTGATCGAGACGTACAAAAAGGTAAAAGAATTTATGTAAGGTAATTCTGAAGAAAGTTCATGACTTGTTGGTTGCAAGGAACAAAATTAATGATGATTTTGTAACCACTGGTATAGTTGTTTTCATAGATGTGAGAAAACGATGAAGGTGCTTCCGCTGACTTTTCATTCATATCAGGATTAGCTGTGACGTCTGGTCCTTCTGAGACCTCAGTGCTTATATTGTAATTAGGGTAATTAGGTTTGTGCGTATTTCTAATTGAAAGGCACACTCTCCTGGGAGCACAGTGTTTGTGTGTTCCCGTCACCCTATGTTCTGAGTTCTGGAATTCTCAAATACGTCTTTTGACCTATTTAGCTACACAAAGTAGGTTACGGGGGTTCCAGTTTGCAGGAAAGGAGATGAATACAGAATAAGAGATTAAGTCCATCTTTTTCCTTGGCAGAACTGGAGGAGGAATCTCCCATTATAAACTGGTCACTGGAGCTGGGAAGCCGTCTGGATAGCAGACTTTACGCCCTGTGGAATCGCACTGCGGGAGATTGCTTGCTGGATTCTGTGCTACAGGCCACTTGGGGCATCTACGATAAGGACTCTGTGCTCCGCAAAACTCTCCATGACAGCCTGCATGACTGCTCACACTGGTGAGGTATTGGTCAGTAATGGGCAGGTTCAGATGTATCCCAGAGTATAAATCCCATCCAATAGTCATATTTGCATAGTCACGTTGAAGATTGTGGGCGGCATGGTGGCGCAGTGGTTAGCCCTGTTGCCTCACACCTCTGGGACCAGAGTTCAAGTCTCCATCGTGGCTGCATGTTCTCCCCATGTCGTTGTGGGGTTTTGCCAAGATACTCCCTGGATAGTCCCAAAACATGCTGAGTTTGATTGGAGTTACCAAATTGCCTGCAGCCGTAAATGGTGTGTGTGTGTGTGTGTGTGTGTGCCCTGCCATGGGTTGGCACTCCATCCTGGGTTGTTCCCTGCTTTGTGCCTGTTGCCTCTGAGATAGGCTCTGGACCCCAGAGGTGTTTAAAGCAGGAGTGGGCAGCTTCAGGAAGAATGTATCCCAGAACATAAATCTCATCCAGTAGTCTGATTGTGTTCTTCTGTAGTGTTCATATTTCCATAGTCAAACTGAAGCTTCTCGGGCTTTTTGAGGTGATTGGTGTTTGCCGACGGATTACGAGAGGCGTGACTGTGTTCTGCGGCCTCAGGTTCTACATGCGCTGGAAAGAGTGGGAGTCGTGGTACTCACAGAGCTGCGGCCTGCAGTTCTCCTTGCGGGAAGAACAGTGGCAGGAAGACTGGGCATTCATCTTGTCATTGGCCAATCAGGTAGGAAGACTTCCCACACGGCCCTATCACTGTAAAGACATCACACTTGTGGTTGCCATGCTTATATAACACATAAGTAGACCTGAACTGTAAAATATGAGTAGTTTTGCTTCCTGTCATTTGGGAATGGCTTGGATTTATAGAGAGTTTTATAGCTTAAGAATTTTGCAATATTTCAGAATTTGGATTCAAGCACATTCTCTCCAGGGCTGCCATTATTGTATCTTTAATACAAGGGCAGGATGCAGTGATGTGGTTAATGCCAAATGGGGATATTAAGCCCTTTTGGTGACAAAAATAAATGTTAGGCAATGAAATGTAAATATAAATCATTCTGCATAAAAGTGTTGAACAACAATAAGGAAATTTTATTCATGTTTATTGTTGATATTGTCGTATTGTCGGAGAAACTCCGTCGGTAAACAGGCACATGTGTGAGATATTATGACTGCATCAGGATAGTTAAGATGAAATATGTGTTCAGTGAAGTGGATCATAGTTTTACACCAAACAGATGAGTCTTTATTAGCAGTATACCTTGCCAAGCATGATGTTTTGTAATAATTTGTTTTAGAGATTTAAAGATGCAGTGTATGCAGTTTTGTGCTTTTGTAGTTTACAGTTTTAAGCTCAGACACGTCAAATACTGATCTGTTTGTGAAGTGTACATTAAAGCCTAACTGGATTTTGTTAGTACTTTCACGTAAATGATGGAGCACATTAAGAGTCAAGAGCAATAAAAATTCTCTCTCTCTCTCTCTCTCTCTCTCTCTCTCTTTCTCACACACCCCTCTCTCTCTCTCTCTGTCTCTCGCTCTCTTCCTCTCTCTCTCTCTCTCTCTCTCTTTCTCACACACCCCTCTCTTTCTCTCTCTCTGT